TCAAGGAAGAAGAGTTCTGTCCAAATGAAAGAAAATTCAAAAAATAAGGAGAAATAGCTTGTCCAGATGAGAAAGAAGCAGAGAAAAAGCTCTGAAAGCATATATATAAAACAGTGTTATAAAGGACCACACTAACTCTCTAGCAATAGATCAGAACCGAAATGAAATCTTTGAAATACCAGATAAAGAATTCAAAATATTGATTTTAAAGAAGTGCAGTGAGATCCAGGAGAAAGCTAAAACCAACAAAAGAAATCAGAAAAACAATTCAGGATATTAAAAAAGGATAGATATCTTTAAAACAATATGAACTTCCAAAAATGAAATATTCATTGAAAGAATTAAAAATACAGTTGAAAGCTTTAACAATAGGCTATACCAAGTGAAAGATGGAATTTCAGAGCTGGAATGCAGGTCTTTCAAATTAAACCAGTCAGACAAAAATAAAGAAAAAAGAATTTTATAAAATAAACAAAACCTTTGAGAACTATGGGAGTATGTGAAATTTCAACACCTACAAGTACAGGCATTTCACAGGGAGATGAAGAAAATTAACGTATGGAAAATATAGTTGGGAAATAATTCAGGAAAATTTCCTTGGTTGTGGGAGGATTTGGGCATCCAGATACAAGAAGCTCAGAAAATCCCTGTAAGATATATTGCAAGAAGAATCTCACCAAGACATATAGTCATCAGACTGTGCAAAGTCAGCATGAAAAAGTAAATCTTAAGAGCAGCAAGAGGAAAGTGTTTAATCACCTATAAAGGAAATCTTATCAGACTAACAGTGGACTTCTCAGCAGAAACTCTTCCAGCCAGAGAGATTGAAGGCCTATTTTTAGCTTACATTAAAAAAAAAAAAAAAAAGTGAGCCAAGAATTCTAATATTCTCCTAAACTAAACTTCATAAACATAGGAGAAATAAAATATGTCCCAGACAAACAAACACTAATGCTATTTGCCACCACTAGACTGGTTCTATAAGAAATGCACAAAGAAGTTAGAAACACGGAAACAAAAGGAAAATACTCACTATCATAAAAAAGACGCATAAGTACAAAGCTCACAGATCCTATAAAGCAATTACATAACTGAAACTTGAAGGGAACTAGGCAGCAACATTATGACAGAAACAAAACCTCACATGTAAATACTGACATTGAATATAAATAGCCTAAATGCTCCACTTAAAAGATATAGACTGACAAATTAGATTTAAAAACAAGACTCAATTATCTGCTGCATACAACGGACCCACCTAATGGCTAAAGACAGCTGCAGACTCAGAGAGGTGGAAAAAGATATTTGACACAAATGGAAAATCAAAGTGAGCAGGAGTACCCATCATTTTATCAGATTTAAACGGATTTTAAACAAACACACTAAAGAAAGACAAAGAAGGGAATTATATAATGATAAAGAATTCAATACAAAAAGATTTAACTTCCTAAATATATGTGCACCCAACACTGGAGCACCCAGATTCATAAAAAAATACTATTTGACCTAGGGAAACAGATCAATAGCAATAAAATAATAGTGGAGGAATTCAATACTCCATTTACAACACTAGACAGATCAGCAATGCAGAAAATCAGCAAATAATTTTTTTTTGTATTTAAAATGTAATTTTTAGTGGAGTTTAACAAATATATATACCTGTGGAACTACTGCCACCATCACGTCACTTTCTTCTTCATATCCTCTACTCCGTCTCCTCACATCATGCATTCCCAACCTACATCAATTCCTCAGACTCCTGCTCTCCTTACACACCTGGCTGCAGACCTACAGTAGAGAACACATAAGCCCGCCTGGGGAAACCTGTGCGTCAGCACTACCCTCCCAAGGACACTCAGTCTTTTTTCAGGCAGCAGCGCTTGCCCATGCTCCACAGCAACTTTTTTTCTTTTTTATTTTCTCTCTCTTTTTTTAAATTATACTTTAAGTTCTGGGGTACATGTTCAGATCATGCAGATTTGTTACATAGGTATACACATGCCATGGTGGTTGGCTGCATCCATCCCCCCTGTTATCTATGTTAGATATTTCTCATAATGTTATTCCTCCCCAAAGTATTATTAATAAAATAATACTTTAAGAATTGGTAGACAGGAGAAGGGAAGGTGGTAATTTCCTTGTTTTCATAACAGGAAAGAGTCATTGAATTATAGTTGCAACAGTAGTTGCGTCTTAGAGTTTAAATAAAGAGATAGGATCTCTAAGTGCATTTTATATAGTTTTCCCTTATCCAGAAAATTTTAAGATAAATTAATATTTATTGGAAAGAAATATTCATCTGAATTTTCATTCGGTTTGCTTTTATTTCAGTTTTTTCTGTTAAATTCAAGGAAATTGATCATAATATTTTCGTTTATATTCTCTTTATTGTATAATTTTATTTTTAACTATATAATCTATCTTGTCATCTATATATGCATAAATACATGTCTAGAACTATATTCATCAAATATTGATGAAGATGATTAATGGGATTTGGGGATTTTGGTTATTCGTTTCTCTTTTGCACTCTTTGTTTCCTCCTTCCCTCCCTCCCTTCCTTTCTTCCTTCCTCCCTCCCTCCTTCCCTCCTTTCTTTCTTTTTTTCTTTCTTTCTCTTTCTTGTTTTCTTTCTTGAGGTAATCTTGCTCTGTCACCCAGGCTGGAGTGCAGTGGCGGGATCTTGGCTCACTGCAACCTCCACCTCCAGGGTTCCAGTGATTCTCCTGCCTTAGCCTCCAGAGTAGCTGGGATTACAGGTGTCCACCACTACACCTGGCTAATGTTTGTATTTTTAGCAGAGATGGTGTTTTACCATGGTAGCCAGGCTGGTCTCAAATTCCTGACCTCAGGCAATTCACCTGCCTCAGCCTCCCAAAGTGCTGGGATTACAGGCATGAGCCACTGTGCCCGGCCTGCACTTTATACTTCTTAATTTTTTTTATCATTGTTTCTTTAACAATGAACACACACTTATGAAGAAGAAAGAGAGAGATAATTCATCTTAATGGAAGTGTTAATAGAGTTTTATTTGGTGTGAGTTGTTTTACTGGATTTGAGTAAATGTTATATTTCACTAGATTGTTTCATTACTATATAATTGATTTCTAAAAATTAGAAATGCCTCAAATTAGCATATATGTTTTAAGCGTGTAATGTAATAAATTATTTTCTCTTTAATTTGTTAAAATAAATTAATTGCTTTAATAGATTTCTTGATACTGAGCTGTATTCTCATTTGTTAAATAAATCCAACTTGGATCATAGTATATTCATCTTTGATAGACTGTTCAATTCTATTGGTTAATAATTATTTACAATTTTTATATTTATGTTTTTAAATACATATGGTTTTTGTGGTATTGTACTATCTTGTGAAGCAAATGCCAGCCTCATAAACCTAACTGGAAATTTTTCTTGTCCCTAGCATTAAAAATGGTTTGAATAGTAATTATCTATTTTTTAAACAGTAGCCTTTTTACAATATTAGTTATCTTCCAAATATAATTACTGTCTGCTATGGCTTTCCATTTTTACGTAAGTTAGTTTTGATATTTTCCTAGAAAATCACCTGGTTCCTTTTAGCTGGAAACTCACATGCGTCCTTTTGAATTTCAAATTCACTGCCTCAGAATTGCAAGACATGTTCTGTTACAGTTCTCCTAATATCTTCACAATCTTTTGTTATATTTCCTTTCCTCCACTCCATTCCAACTCATCAAGGTGATATCTTTAGAAGTTTTTTTACTGGACCACTTCATAACCAAGTACAAATTCTCTAAAATACCTAAATTCATGGTTTTGCTGAACAATAGTTGATATGGTTTGGCTGTGTTTCAACCCAAATCTCATCTTGAATTGTAGTTTCCATAATTCTCATGTGTCATGGGATCGATCAGATGGAGACAGTTGAATCATGGGGGCTGTTTCTACCATCCTGTTCTCATGATGTGTTCTCTATACATGTGTATTTACCCAATGCCTGTACCCAATTGTATCTAGGAAGTAACTAACTTGCTTTTGATTTTACATGCTCATAGGTGGAAGAGACTTTCCTTGTCTCAAATGAGACTTCAGATTTGGACTTTTGAGTTAATGATGGAATGAGTTAAGACTTTGAGGGATTGTTGGAAGGGCATGATTGCGTTTTGAAATGTGAGGACTTAAGATCTGAGAGGGGCCAGAGGTAAAATGACACGGTTTCGCTGTGTCCCCACCAAAATCTTTCTTGAATTATAGTTCCCATAATCCCCACACGTTGTGGGAAGGACAAGATGGAGATAATTAAATCATGGGGGTGTTTACCCCCATCCTGATCTCATGATAATGGGTTAGTTTTCATGTGATCTGGGGGTTTTATTAGCGGCTTCCCCTTCTGCTGTGCACTCATTCTCTCCTCTACTGCCTTGTGAAAAGGTGATTTTGTCATGATTGCGAGTTTCCTGAGGTCTTACCAGCCATGCAAAACTGTGAGTCAATTAAATCTCTTTACTTTATAAATTACCCAGTCTTGAGTATTTCTTCATAGCAGCATGAGAATGGGCTAATACAACAGTAAAGGTGCAGTTTATTTAGTTTAGATTTTTAAGTAATAATATTGCACATAGGCAAAATTACCCTTAATTATTTTTGACCACAAGATGAAGTCATTATCTTGATCTACAAGCCATACTGTTCAAATAAGTGTACAGTCATGCATCACTTAACAATGGGGCAAGATCTGAGAAATGCATCATTATGTGGTTTTGCTGTTATGTGGACATCATCATAGAGTGTACCTACACAAATCCCAGATGGTAAAGGCTGCTACATACCTAGACTCTATGTTATAGCTTATTGTTCTTGGGCTAGAAACCTGTATAACAGGTTACTATATTGAATACTGTAGGCCATTGTCATACAAGCATGAGTATTTGTATATCTAAACATAGACAAAGTTTGGTAAAAATACAACATAAAAAATTTAAAAAAAAAAAAAGAAAAAAAAAAAAGATACGTAGGTATAAGGTACTTACCATAACTGGAACTTGCAGGACTGAAAGTTGCTACGGGTGTCAGTGAATGAGTGGTGAGTAAATGTCAAGACCTAGGATATTGTCCTATATGACTGTAGACTTTATAAACACTGTACACTTAGTCTATACTAAATTTATAAAATAATGTTTTTCTCAATAATAAATTATCCTTGGCTTACTGCAATTTTTTACTTTATAAACTTTTAAATTCTTTTTCACTTTTAGACTCTTTTGTAATAATAATTTAAAACACAAACACAATTTACAGCTATACCAAAGTATTTTCTTTCTTTATATCCTTATTCTATACACTTTTTTCTATTTTCAATTTTGTTCTTACTTTTTAAACATTTTTGTTGAAACTAAAATATAAACACACACGCTAGCCTATGCCTACACAGGGTCAGGATCATCAATATCACTGTCTTCTGCCTCTACATCTTGCCTCTCTGAAGTCCTACAGAGACAAGAACACGTATGAAGCTGTCATCTGTGATAATGCCTTCTTTTGAAATAATCTATTTCAAATTTTTAGATGCTTTCTGAAGGATCCACCTGTAGCTGTTGTAGCGTTAACAAAAAATATAAGTGAATGGAGTAAACTTTAAAATAACAATAAAAAAGTATAGTATAATATATATTAGGCTATAGTAATTTATAACTCCATTATCATTTTATGGGACCACCACAGTATATGTGGTCTGTAGTTGACTGAAATGTCTCTATTTAGTGCGTGACTATGTCTTTAAACACTAGAATCATCCAACATGGTGAGATACACTGTCAGAGGCATGTGGAGGCTGTCACTGATGGAAGGAAGAACAGTCATGTCTTCCATTTCACATTCATTCCAGGGTTTCTGCTGATTGAGTGTGAGTGAAATGAGTAAAATTGTTAAAGGTATTTAAATCAGTCTCTCTCTCGCTCTTTTTTTCTCTCTCTCTGTCACTGTCTCTCTATATATATCTCTCTCTCTCCTTCCCTCCTTTCCACTTCACAAAAAATAGCTTTAGGCAACTGTTGGATATTTCTATTATAGAAGGTATATATCATCTATTTCAAACTTATGTGTCTCACAACATCACCTTCAATTTACTTTCAATTTACTATCTAACCCTTCAATTTACCACCTATCCCTTTTTATTCTGTCCCATTTTGAGATCTTGAGCTCTTATTTGATATTTCACTTAGTTAGAACACAGATTTGAAGATATTTTCCAGACAAAATATAGAGTCATATACTTTGAACTCTTGAATTTTTGAAGATTTCTTTCCTTCATCCAGTTAGATTAATAATATCTTGGCTGGGTATATTATTCTTGGACTGCAGTCTTTTTCTCTTAATCGTCTATTAAAGTAACATCTCTGTTTTCTGGCAGTCAATGTTGTAAATGACATTTTCAGTACTGGAATGGGGCTATTTCTTTTCTATGTTATCTACTCTCTGAAAACTGTAAGATTTTTCTCTTCCTCCCTTCCTCCCTTCTTCCCTTTCTCCCTTTATCTCTCTCTCTCTCTCTCTCTCTCTCTCTTTCTCTCTCTCTCTCTTTCTCTCTCTCTCTCTCTCTTTCTTTTTCTTTCTTCTCTCTCTCTTTCTCTCCTTCTCTCTTTCTTTCTTCTTTCTCTCAGTCTGTTGCTCAGGCTACAGTGCAGTGGTGTGACCTGGGCTCACTGTAACTTCTGCCTTCTGGGTTCAAGCAATTCTCATGTCTCAACCTCTCAAGTAGCTGGGATTACAAGTGTGCACCAACATGCCTGGCTAATTTTTGTACTTTTAGTAGAGACAGGTTTTCACTGTGTTGGCCAGGCTGTTCTTGAATTCCTGATCTCAAGTGATCCACCTGCCTCCCAAAGTGCTGGGATTATAGGTGAACCACTATGCCTGGCCTAAGATTTCCTTTTTATTCTTGAAATCCTGAAAAGTCATCAAGATAGGCCTTGTTGTATGGCTTTGAAAATTAATTCTTCCTGGAACTCAGTAGGGTTTTCCAATTGGCAGACTCAAATTAATTTTCAGCCCAGCTAATTATTCTTGAGTTACTTAAGTTATTACCACTCTATTTTTCATTTTTCTTCCCATGGAACTCCTATGATTTCTGCATGTTTTTAGAATACATTCCCCAGGACTCATCTTTTGTTTAGCAACATTAAACACTGTGATTTTGCTCTGTTTTGTTAAATTTTCTACCACTTGAACTTCAGAAAAGAAACTAGTTTCTCTTCACTGATTCTCCATTTAAATGGTTCTGAAAATATATTTTTGGTATGCGACCTGACAGTAACTACCAATTTGTCAAAACTATCTTCTGACTCCTCCATTTAATTCAATCACAGTGATAGCCATTTGTTCTTCCTCTCTTCGGTAGCTGGATCTCCTTAACTAGGTTGTTCTTTTTCTGAGTATGGATTTATGTCCCCATAGCACTTGTACAGTTCAGGCAGTCATAATATCTTTATCATCACTCTTTACCAGATTAGAACACTGTCCTGAAAGTGTCAGGAAGCACAGCATTTTTTATGTAATAGCTGGTTATGAAAGTATTGATAAATATTAACACTTTGATGAGGCACAAAGGAGTTACTGAGCTTCTCATTTCCTCCTAGTGTAGGCAACAGTTCTGTTCACATTGAAGAGCCAGGAAAAATTCAGCTTATGGTGCAGTTAACCTCCAGGGTAATCGGGATGCCCAGGTTTTTTTTTGGGTCCTTCCAGAAAACATGCAAGAAGTGGAAGTTACCTGAGGAGAGGTAAATGTCCCTTTAGTGACACTGCCAGAATCCAAGACAGCTAGGCCTCATGTTTCTTTGTTGTCTCAAGCTTTTTCACTGCCGTCAATCTCTCCAAGAGGAGAAGTAATCCCTACACCTGCATAGTTATATTATAAATATTTGTTAAATGAGTTACTTAATGTCACATGAGTTGGTCTGAGAACCACGATAAATGACCTTGGTCTCTCTGCTCTTGGTCCGGTGGCTTTCCTACTATATACTGTTTCTTCTTGATGCCCTGTTGTTGTTCTCATGGTCAAGGTGGTTAAATGAACAATAGTTGCTGGGTATGTATGTTCATATAACACCCATTTGTGACTGTTTAATTGATTTGGAGTATCACCTCTAGAAATGGGCATCACCCCCATTTCAGTTTCTGTATCAAACAACAAAACAAAATGAGTATAAAATGGTATTCTTGTAAAAAACTTTTGATCTTATAATAGTGTAAAATTTCATTACTTTAATGTTAGGTTTTCCAATTGTAAAAACTATAATAACACTCTTTGGTCCTTTTGTGCCTTTCATCTGAGAATGTCAAAGCTTTTCATAAGCCTTTACTAATTGCTCAAGCCTCCCAGCACCATCATAATACAGGAACAGTATTATTGGCTTTTTTTAATGGATTACTAAACAAATGGGTTATAGACTGAGAGACAGACTTCAGTCAGGGCAATGGCAGAGCAAAAGCAAAAGGCTTGTCTAAGCTTTGTCCTTAAGAAACCCTAATCACTCAAAAGGCCTCCCCTGCATGCCTAATAGTTATGTACCATAAAAATCTTGTATTGTCCTCAGGTGGGGCAGAAGAAAATATTTTGCTTCTCACTCATTCTCTCCTTCTCCTGGGTACAATGGAGAAAAGTGGAAGAGCCTCCTCATCTCTTTGCATCTTAGGAATGCAGATCTTCCAGAGGAAAGTAGAAAAAGAGATCTTAATAGATTTTGAGCAGATTTTTTAGACATAGTTTACATGAAAGTTCTTTGTAAAGTAACATGTTATCTTAGTAAGATGTTATTTTATAATAATGAAAATGCCTTCACGTTTATTGTCTCAATGCATATTTATTAAGCATCTACCATATCAAGGCAATGAAGATACATCAGTAAATAAGACAAGGTCATTGCTCTCAAAAAGCTCATGCTTCAAAGGGAGTGAAAGTGGGAAGAGACAATAAACAACCACATATGTGGTAGGGAAAGCTTGGAAGGCAGAGAGGCTTAGAGAGGACATGCTATTTTATATAGATGCCAACAAAGGCTTAGAGGAAGGCAGCGGGCAGTCAATGAATATATAATGGAAGACTGTTCCAGCAGGGAGGGCAGAAAGAACAAAGATTTTGAGGAATTAGTGTGTTTAGCATATTCCAAGATTAGCAAGAAGGCTACCATGGCTGAAGAAAAGCAAGCTAGGTGAAAAAAGAATTGAGATCAAGAAGGTGGGGACAGAGGATGGAGTAGCATCCAGAGCACATAGAACCTTAATGGCTATGGGAAGGGTTTTTGTTTGATTCTGAGTGATAAGTGAAGCAGTTGGATGGTTTTGAGCAGAGTAGAGATATGATCTGATTCATATTTTAAATAGTCACTCTGGCGGCCATGTGGGAATAGACAGAAAGGTAGAAAACTACTGTAATATCCTAGACTTGAGCTGAGTGTAGCAATGAGACCCCAGAGGAAACATTAAGTAGGTAGTTGATTATATGAGTCTTCACGGCAAGTGGGGAGCCAGGCTGGGCATATGAATGTGAGCTGGAATGAGTTTGCTAATCAAATGAGTGTAGAGGGGAAGAGAATGGATGTAAGGCTGAGCACTGGAAGCTTCAACATATAGATGGAAAGCTGAGGAAGACCCAGCAAAGGAAACTAAGGAGGAATGAGCAGGATGGTGGGAAATAAACCAAGAGAACAGTGTCCTAGAGACTAAGTGGAAAAAGCATTAAAAAAAAAAAAAAGGAATCATCAACTGTGTGAAATAATACTGAGTAACATGAGGCCTGAAAATGGAACTTTAAGTAATGTAGCATGAGCCTCACTAAATCTTCCAAAGGAACAATTTCAAGAGAATGTTGGGAATAAAGGTCTGATTATACTATGATACTTTCCAGAAATCTGTTTCCCTGTTACTGAATTATTATTCTTTTTCATATTCAACATTTTAAATTTAATTTTTGACACCTAAAACCTGTAACATTTAATGTATACAATCTGATGAGTTTGGAGATAGTATGCCTCCATGAAACCATCACCACAATGTATGCCATAAGCCTATCCATTATCCCCAGAAGGTTTCTC